GGCTACTCTTTACAGTTTATGCAACTTGTTGGGCAGTATTTTTCGTATGTTTGAATAACAAAATATTCCTTGCGCTTTAAAAAGTTATCCCAAACATTGTTGTTGTTACTTATGCCGCCTGATCGAAAGTAACATCCAATCAAGATCCATGAAGTTCATCGTGGCAAGGGGCTGGTTGTGAACTGAAGTGACATTTTTGAAATACTCTTAAAACATTTAGCTAGTAAGCATATATGGTAACAATAAATCACGATTTTCAATAAATTCATAATGATACTCTGTAAATATTTGTCTTTGAAAAAACTAATTAATACATTTAAAAACATTTCACTTCAGTATAAATAAAAATGTCTGAGCCACAATATACAATAAAAATCTTGAATCTTTATGTTTAATACTTTCTGAGAAAAAAGTAGGAGATGATACATCAAATGTGATGTTTGTTGTCTTTGCGAGAAGCTTGTTACATACATAAAAATACATAAATTTCATGTTTAAAAACATAAAAACAGTTTTATTTTGTCTGTTTTAGAAATCATTTCTCCAGTTTTCACCTAACAAAAACTTAGGAAACGTCGTATAATCAGGTATTTTTAAATACCATCTCAAATTCATACCAAAACCATATTGATACATTTTCACATTATATTTATGATGTTTTCTGTTCAAATTTTATATTTGTAATGCATGAAAGTTACAAATTCTTCAAAAATTGATACAGAATTCGAGAAAATTTTGACGTTTTCTCGTTAAAATCTAAAAAAGGCTGTTCTGGGCAATTTAAGACTTTTTTGTTTACTATTTTATGCAAAATAAATTACAAAGATGCTAATGTTTAATAAAATAGGACAAATACATGTTATAATTCATTAGTTTTGTGATGAAGCCACACTTTATACTAAGAATTCAATTTTCTCAAAAATGATGTGTTTAAAACTAAATGTATCTTTCTCAGAATATAATGTATGAATGCACATGAAATTTTTTCCCTCATGTTACTGGTATGTAACTATATATATATTTATGTGACTTTTTCGGGGACTTTTCCGAAATATTTGACTGGAATCCAAATAACGTGACAAAAAATGTCATTCTCTTTAAAAATTCATAGTGACATTTTTATGTTACATTTTTTGAAAAAATCAAACAATATACTTAAATATTTCCCTTTATTTGCAAATATTAATGCTTATTTATTATTCAGACAAGTTTTTAAGCTTTAATATTCAAAGAGTTTTCAATAAAAGGTAACTAATTATAACTCGGATGTGTAATACTTGATGTCGTTGCGAGAAGCTTGTTACATGCCTAAAAATACACAAATTTCATGTTTAAAAACGTAAAAACATTTTTATTTTTGACTTTTTTAGAAACCTTTTGTACAGTTTAGAGAAAATTTTGTATTTTGAAACTTTTAGAAATTGTGTTTGCATGTGAACATACAAATGCATAATGGAACCTTTCACAATGCCGTAAAATCACATATTTCCAAATCATTACTTTTACATATTGATACGTGTTTACATTTTATTTATTAAGTTTTATTATGAAGTTATTTGATATTTTTAACGCATCAAAGCTAAAAATTCTTCACAGATTCATACAGAATTTGAGAAAATTGATACAAATGGTAAAAAAAATCTCGTTATACAAAAACTGAAAAATACTATAATGTGTTTTCTGAACATTTTAAGAATTTTTTGTTTCCTATTTAATGGTAATAAAAATTAAGAAGATATTAATTTTTAATAATGAATAACAACATGCGTTTGCCCTATTTTATTTTTGTGATGAAGTGCATTTTTACATTAAAAATGCAATTTTCTCAAAATGATTGTTTTCAAAATGCGTGTACCTTTTTCTGAGAATCTACTGAATGAATGTACATGCAATTTTTATATACTGCATATAAATGATATGTAACTATGTATACTGGAACTTTTTTTGGAGATTTTCCCAAAATATTTTGCTGAAAAGCAGTTATCGTAAGAAAAAATAACAATTTTCAAAAATTTCATAGTAATACTTTTAAGTTGAATTTTTTTGAAAAAAGTAAACAATATATTTGAAACATTTTAACCGTAATATAAATAAAACAGCCTAATTAATATACAGACAAAATTTGAAGTTTTTATATTTAACAGTTTCTGAGAAACAGAAACCTAAAATAGCTCAATTTAACATTGTCGGTATAGGGGGTACCGACTTAAGTTTTAATTACTTACAGGGGCTCAGCAGCGTAGTTGGTAAAGTAAATGTTCATTCCGCTGTCGTCCTCGGTTCGAGTCGCACAATCAGATTTTTTTTCTAATTTTTAAATTCCTTTAATTATACATAAACCTAAATAAATTTATTTAAGAAAAGGTTTATTAAATATTAAATGATATTTTAGATAATTATTTTGTATTTTAAAAAGTAAAATAACTGCTGCAATTATATAAATATATATATTATATCAATATAATTACCGTAAAATCCGGCGTATAACGCGCACTTTGAACACAAAAAATAAGATAGAAAATTAAGGGTGCGCATTATACGCCGGGTATAAAAACGAAAGCTTTAAAAATAACAAAAAGGATGGGCATAAAAAAAATTACTTTTAGATGTATCGAAACACTGTTTATTTAAAAGAAGCGACTTACCTTATGAACAAGAACAGTTGTAATTCTAGAGAAGTATACTATTTTTTCAAAAGTCTGGGATAATACCTCCAATAAAATACTTCAAAACATAAAAACTATGTATATTAATACTTCAGAGTTCTTCGTTAAAAAGGGGGTGCGCGTTATACGGCGAATATACCTAAAAATTGAAAAATTTAGCTTGAAAGTGCGCGTTATACACCGGATTTTGCGGTATTAATAAATTATATTTATTATAAAAATATATCATAATAAATATTAAACGATATTAAAATAAAAATTTGTTACAACTAGTTTTATAATATGAAATACAATGTATTATAAATAAAATATTATATAAAATATTATAATAATGCATAAAATGTATTATAATAATTATTTATAAAAAATATTTTATAATTAATATAATAAAAATTATTTTTAAACTATTAAACGTAAAATCTTGAAATTGAGTAAACAGATTCCATTCACAGCGTTGAGATCCGCGATAAGATGGGTTTTGTGAAAAAAGCTTCCTAAGTGGAGTTGTGGGGGCTTATGGGAAGTTAGAGATAATTATTTCCATTTTTAAATTATAAGACGTACAGTCTTGAAATTCGATAAGCAGGTTTCTTTCATGGTGTAGAGATCCACTACAAAATAGTTTTGGGGAAAATTAACCCCCAAGGGGCCCTGAGGGGGATTAAGGAGCGTAATAGATAAATATTTCCGTTTATCAACTTTTAGACCCACCTGCTTGAAAATTAGAATGTCTGTTCCTTTCATGGAATAGAGTTCCTTTAACAAAGAATTTTGTGAAAACCGACCCCAAAAGAAGTGGGGTTGTGAGGTGTTAAGAAGAGTTATAGAAAAATTCCTTTTTTTTGAATTTAGCCCATTTACTTGAAATTTGTTGAGAACGTTTCTTTAGTTGAATAGATATTTCAGGTGTGGCCACTAAGAATGGATTTTACGGATATCAACTCCAGGGGGAAGCGGGGGAGTTATTGGGGCATATTGATAGACAAAACTCCTGTTTTCGAACTACTAGGACTATAATAATAAAATTTGGTTTGCATATTTCCCTTTGTTGAATTGGAATCAGCTAAGAATGCTCTCAAAGGGGTTACGGGGTGGGGCATATTGATGATAAAAATTCCGATTTTGCTCTGTTAGAATTGAAATTTAGCACGCATGTTTATTTTATGGAGTAGTAATCCACTGAAAGTTGCTCTGGCGGAAATCCACTTGATTATCGGGTTAAGTGAGCGCAAAAAATCTTTCTACATCTATTTTAGATATTAATAGGAATTAGAAATTGTAAAATTTATGTCCATTTTATATCAAGAGGTGAGAGTTACAGATATAAATATATTTTTCAATACAATCGAATTATTAATGCTAGATATCAATAATTTATGTATATGTAAACAGTATATATTTATACAACATCGTGAAATACCCAGTGATTCGGGTGGGTAACGGCTAGTATCTTATATTACATATTATTAATTTAATTATTTTATAATTATATAAAATATTTAATGTCTTTATTAAATGAATTTATTTAATTGTAAAAAAAATAAATGAATTTAAAAATTAAAACAAAAAAACCCGATTGTAAACCGATTATAATATATTTTTATAACAAATATTATTTATTAATTATATTTATAATAAATTAATATTTATATTATTATTTTAATATAATAATATAAACTTTTATTTTTTTACTTTTTAAGATACAAAAAATATTATCTAAAATATCATTTAATATTTAATAAACCTTTTTTTAAATAAATTTATTTAATTGTAAGAATAATTATTTAAATGAATTTAAAAATTTTAAAAAAAAAACGATCGCTTGATTCGAATCGAGGCCGAGGGCGTAGTAAACAGTTACTTAACCAACTACGCAGCTGAGTACATGTAAGTTTTTAAGACTTAATCGAATAAAAGCTAAGCATGAATTTCGAAGGCTATTTTCTCCGGATTGACTGCCTATTCGGTGGAATTACATTGAGGGTCAACATCCTAAAGGAGTACTAGTATTGTACAAAGTCTCTTTCCTAAATGAATTTCCTTAGTCGTGCCCTCCCCTTGTAAGTCAATTCCTACATTGGTCAACAATTTTTTTTGTAATTTTTTTACTTTTTATTAAATAATTACAATTAATATAAATATGTATATACATATGACAGAATCATAATATTAAGTGACAAAATAGAAAGCGATTTTCCTTGCAATTTTACATTTTCCATTCTACATATGGTGTTGGATTATTATTTTTGCTTGTTACTATTTATTCATTAATTAAATTTAATTATTCTAATAAAAACGTATGGAAAAAAGAAATCATATTCTCAGAAATTAGGCCATCCCAGGTGGGAGTCGAACCCACAACGTTTGGATTAGATGTCCAACGCGCTCTCCATTGCGCTATAGGGACGCAACGTGAGATTTTCCTTTATGTATATGGTATGAGGCTATTATTTTTGTTTGTTACTATTTATTCATTTTTTAATTTAATTAATGAATGTTTTTTGAAAAAAGCTGTATTACTATCAAAGGTCATACCACTATAAGTTTAAAAAAAGGTATTGGAACTTGAATGGATGAATAGAAAGAATTTTATTAACGATTGAAAATTTGAACATATATATATATATATAGGGAGAAGGTGAACTAATAGTCGGGATTGTGAAAAAACCATTCTAGGAAAGAAAGAGAACTGGTTTTTTATTCCCTTTTACAAAATGTTTTTTAAGAAATAGTTGCTTATTCATTAATGTGGGGTTTTGATAATAAGAAGGAATTATGAGAAATAATTAGTTTGTGTACACAAAATGTTTGAAAAAAACACTATATATCTTTTTCCTTTTTTCCATAATATCTCTGGAGTCAAAATAACATATTTTTATTTTCATATCTACGTCATTTCTATCAGCTGTTTTGGATTATTCCCTTTGAATGAAATCTCATTACGTATATCGACAGGGCGATGTGCACAAATCCCAAATTTGCTCCTGTTTGTTGTGGGGGAAAAAACAAATAACTCAACTCCTTTGTTGTCTGAATCAATGCAATAGATTTCATTTCCCTAAAGTTTGAATTAGAAAGCGTAAGAGATTATCATTAGATGCAGAAAGCATCTTTAGAGGAATTTCAATGAATCAATATTTAATTGAGTTTGCTAATAGGCATAATGATGAATAACATTAACGCAGAAAGCCCATTAAGGTTGAATTATTCTCGCCCTATAGATAAGCTTTGTTAGTATATATTTCCATCTGTATATTCATTTTGATAGATATTACGTGACCCAAAATAGCATATTGCAGTAGGGTACACAAGGGGGTTCAAGAATCTGGACCCCCATAGCCCTTGATTTTTTTTTCGATCGATTATAATTTTATTTATACAGTATGTAAAATTTAATTACCGTATTTACTCAAATCTAAACCGCACTATTTTTCCAGTGTTAATACTGTTGAAAATCGAGTGCGGATTAAAATTGAAGGAAAATTAGTTGTTGGATGGTGAAAATTGAATTTCTACCCCTTTTAAAAGGAAAAGCCACTTGCATCGATGACTTATTCCATTCCTAAGCATTGTTGTCTGCTTGTTTTTCAATTCCTACTATTAGCTCACATTCTCTATATATTTATTTATTCATTTTGGCGGAATTTTCAATCGTTAATAAAATATATTTTAAAGCGCTTAATTCAGCTGAAATTTCATGTACATGATTATTTTGGATGACAGTAAAATTATTTAATAATGATTAATAAAATTAATTGATTAAAACTAATTATTTAAAGAATTACAAATACAGCCACGTTGGCATCATTTTTGGCAACTTAGCGACCCTTTTGGCGACTTGTGTCAAAACTAGAAAGGGTTTTTTTTCCTAACGTTTTAAAGCATTCAGTTAAACTGAAATTTTATGTATGATTGTTTTGGATGACAATACAATATTTTAATGATAATTAATGAAAATTAATTAACACTTATTGTTTTGATTCTGTCATATGTATATACATATTTATATTAATTGTACCTATGTAATAAAAAGTATCTAAAAAAAAATTTCTTTGTTGACCTAAGTAGGAATTGACTTCATTCGTTTTTCATATTACTTGTTTTTTTTTCCCCTTTTCTTTTTGTATACGGCTTCTGTTAATCACCTAATCATCAAAGATATCGGTAATGACATTAAGACGAATTCACTATGATGCAAGTATGAAAAGGGAGGCAATTTTGTTGCAGAAAAAAACGGAAACAAACTTAGTCGTCACTGAAAATATGACTCGGATGAAACAAATATACGTCGATGGCGTACACAAAATTATATAATTTTTGCTAGTAAATGTTCAACAGTCTTTAATAATTCCTTTATATTCTTCTACAATACGTTCTTTTTTTAAAAAAAATGTTGTATAAAAAATGCATTGGCTGGCGGAGGAACCATACCATGTGGGAAAATGGTGACGCATACACCCATTCCGAAGTCAACTGTGACAATGACAGAAACGAATCTTTTTTCGAAATGTATGATACTGACTATTAGAGTAATTACAGGTTCATGTAAGTGTTTGAAAGGTTTTAATAGTGGTAAAATAAATTAATTATTAATTTTTCTTATTTTTCTCATTAAAAATATTTTTTTTCAATTTCTTAAGTATCGGATATTCATTAAACTTTCACACATTTTTTCTTTTTTCTTAAAGATGTATAGTGAATTGAAGGTGCGGCTTAGAATCGATGACAACATTTTTTCTCAAAAACATGTTGAGAATTTGGGGTGCGGCTTAGAATCGATGGTGGCTTAGATTCGAGTAAATACAGTAAATGTTGGCTATTAATAATTAATTTTACTAATCAGTCTTAATTATATATTCAGTAAGTTATTTTTTACTGATTTTTGCTCCTGACAATCGACAAAATCAAAGGAATATATTGGGCAGCGTATTGAGGTATGATACGAGAATGGTGGACATTCGACGCTGGACCCCACCACCCGCTTGAAAAATCCATGCGTGTGCCACTGACATATTCAAAAGAATTTTTTTATGAAAATTATTTTCAAAATTTTGATTACATTATTATTTTGTGGTGTTTTTTTTTTTAAAAAAAGAGAAAGAAAAGTTGTGTCAGTATTTGCTGCGAGCCTTTCTCTCACATGTCACAACCAAAAGATAGAAATATATAAAAATATTAA